ATGCACATGGAGACAACATTTATGGAAAACAGTAGCCAATTCTAGTGACAGAACATAGACTACCAACTAATTGACATCGATTTCACACTTAACAGAATTACAGACATTTCCTCCGGGCTTTCAGAGTCCCTTACTACGAGGTTAATGATTGAAATATATGACTTAGGGCTTCCATTTTAGACCACATGCTTACTTCCTATTCAGAATTGTTGAATTCACTGTATCAGTTTTAGAATGCTCAACTGATAACAACCCCTTCCTCCAGTCCTTATTTAAGAGCCCCAAACCAATCGGCTTGATTGATAACGTTTTTCTTTCAAAGCTAATTTTTCCTGAAAGCTGACTGTGTGTGCAACTCGGTTGGATGCACGTGCTCACAGCTTTGGAGCCTGGAAGACGCTGGGGTAAGGCAGATGAGCTCTAACCTGCTGGGTTGCATTATTCCCTGTCTAATCTAGCACATCAAGAGACATTCCGAGCTGTTCAGAGGCTAGTATACTCTACAGGGTCTCATAAAAGGAAGCGCAAAATATGACCTCAGGAATCTGTTATTCTTCACATATACCAAGCACTAGAAAATATGTTTTTTTTCACTATGTGAAAAGCAAGTCTCCTGTTGCTGATAAACCTATGTGAAAATCTGTACTAGTAGTAATTTCTGGCAGGGATATAAATTACCAAGAATGGAATTCTAAAATTTTGTGTTGATGGGAGTAGCATTACTATTTGGGGAAGAGAAAATAAGAGATTATTTGCTGTTACAACTAACTTATAGAAGAAAAACAAACTTTAAAGAGTAAAGCTATTTTAATGGCACTGATTCAAATCCATGTTTGTATTTATGTAAACAATAGTCTTTTCCTCCTAACTTTGCTCCTAAGTGCAAGGATACAGTAGCATGTTTTCATTTGTAGCTTTCCTGTTCTCTTCAGTACCTACAGTATGTATATTACTATACTAAATGAAATAATAGATCATCTAACAAAGATCACTATGTGCAATACTGTATTTAGTGTTTCTATTCCAATTTTTTTAGAATGTTAATTTATAAGAAAATAAAAGGAATAACAATGAAATAACTGCCTTCTCTCATCACTCTTTGCCTATTCTGTAGTGTGCTACAAACTGTTTGCTCCCTAAGCAGCACATCCCATTCTGGCTCCCGTGACTGAGGAAGAGCCTTCGTGAAGAGAGCAGAGGAAATATGGCTTCCTATTGATTGCCTGTTGGAAGGGTAGTGACAGAAATTCCCAGATATATGGATATAATACCTCTTTGTGGTAGTGAGAGCTTCAGCATTCCTTACCCAAGGAGACTATGTAAAACTCACTTCTGCAACTTGTGCATGCCTCCCGGTCTTGCACTTGGCTCAGGTTTGTAACCTGGTCCTACTAACACTGCTGAATTAAGAGTCTCAAGAAATTGCTATTAAGTCAAAAATATGCATTGAAAAATATTATCTGCATATTATAATCCCTTTATATATATACAAGTGTTTCAGAAACCACCTAAAAGGTCCAGCAACCTCTGAAATGTCACATACATACATACAGACCCTTTCTACAGGATCTGCAGCATGGATGGTAGAAGCCTCTCTCTCTGAAGAAGCGTTGACTGCAGCTGATGGAACCATATTATGATCACATGCTGCTATGTAGATAATTCTTTCATTCTACTCAGACACAACCTATTTGGTTGAACATCTCTCTTCTATATAGCTCCTCTCCAGCCTGTCTCAAACATCCATGCAAAGCATCCCACTATGTGCAGCATGACAGTGGACCTACAGAACATCCAAAGGGGGACTCACAGCACAAGTTTCACTTCTTCTCTTTGTTTTTAGCAGCATACTCAACTTTTTACAGAATTCTGGACCACTGTTCTTTTGTTTGTTTGTTTGGGTATGTTTTAAAGAGGTTGAACCCCCCACTGGTCCCCTCTCCCCTCATTTGCTGCAATCCTCCCCTTTACTGCAACATCGTGCACTCTAAGAGCTGGCCCTAATTCTACAAGTTCTCACAGAAAAAAACTCTGAGCCTTTGTTAATTACTAACACCACGCATTGCTCACTGTTAGTTAAGTGCAGCAGCAAAAGAAGGACTTTCATACCTGAGCAGCAGATGTGACTTGCTGGCAAGAACAATCTGGTTTTTTATGAAGAGCTAAGAGGATTCATGTTGTTTTGCGTGCCAATTAAAGCCCTTCAGAAGCATGGTACTTTGTCACGTCAAGACACTGTAGTGGGTTAGCTTTTTTTGTAGCACCTTTCATCATCCCCTTTGATCTGATCACTGAAAAAAGCTATAAAGCAACTATCAATTTCATTAAGAGAACATACAGCAAGTCATTGCATTGCAATTATTTTGGTGAAGACTCTAGGTTAAAAGCAAAGCTAAATTTGTGATAAATCCACTATACCAGTTACTTCAGTTACACAAATTTTAATCTGCTGTGGACAGAATAAGTGAAAACTGATGAAGTTGAGTTTTTCTGAAGATAGTGTACACAAGTCAGCAAAGGTTGAAAAGAGAAAACCATGCCCCAGTCCATTCATGTTTGCCACTCATCAAGAGGATTCTCATTACAAAACAGCTTTTATGAGCTATTCTCTCACTTATAACAGACCCATCTACTCCTCTATCTGATATTCATCCAACCTGCTTTTAAAAGCATCCAGTGGTAAGTCCATGGCCTCAAAAAATTGATGGCTTTCTGAACTAAAGGGTCCCTACTGCCTCAGCACTGTTACCTCATTTATTCCCAGCTGTTCGTTGGATTTGCACTCTTAGAAATTCCACTTGCCCCCCACCCAAAACTGGGGCCCTCCCAACGTGGCAGTCCCACTGTGGTTCAGTTTAACATGCACTGCCCTGCTCCCTTCCCCTGTCCTGTAGCACCTGTCCACTTTATGAAGTAACTACATCTGTCTGACCTACAGCTTTTCCATCTACTCGGGGAGATTCACCTTGTTCTTGGATTGCTTCCACAAGGGGGAGATTTTTGGATCACGGCATATGCCTCTGGTAAAATGACAGTACAGCACTTGGGCAGCAACAGACTGAGAGAACTGGAGCTGGAGTCTGGGCTGTGCCTCAAGCTGCAGAGGTTCAGGTGGGTGCTGGGCAATCCACGACCTGCAAAAGCAGCAGGCTGGCCAAGAGATGGCTGGAAATGAGAGAGGGGCATTTGAGGAGGTGACTGCTGAGCTCCCTTAGAGCCAAGTGACAGAGGCACTTAGGAGGTCTGAGCAGGGAGCCTGACCACACCCAGGGAGCCAAGGCAAAGTAAGACACTAATTCTCTAAAGTAACAGCTACTAAAAAAAAAAGTCTCCAAACACTGAACTGTGAGAAGATTTGGGCAAGAGACAGGGAAGGGAAGACAGCAAAGGGCTCCTACAAGTGTAGTGCCATAAAGGACCTAGCCCTCCCTTGCTAGCTGTGGTCTAGGTTCTCCTGCTTCTTTCAAGACCCATCACAGGCATCTCTTCTGGTCACATGGAAGTTCATCAATCACTGTGACAGCTCCCTTTCCACACAGAAATTTTCCCTTGAGAAACTGCATTACCTCTGTGTTGGTAAAGGAAAAAGAAAAAACCACAAACCTCAAAATACTACCCTGTGTTTGGACTGCCATACGGTGAACCTGTCCAAGAGCTGAGAGCAACCTGTATCTGATAGCTGAAGCTCACCTATATCTTGGAACTTTTTTTCCTTTTAAGTGGTTCAGTGCCTGTTACAAAAGGGTCTATATACATTTTAAACAAAATTATTTAGGTCAGTTACTTCTCTTGTGGTAAATGATGGTGATGTTTTAGCCAGTGGTGGAGCTTTGCTCAGCAGTTTACCAAAAAACCCAGAATAACTGCATGCAGAATTGTCTCCAGAATCTAAGAATAGTGCATCTCATTTTTGTGTCTTTTCTGTCTTGCTTTCCAGGTACTTCTGAGGAGAAGTATTGGGAAACAAGGGGAGAAGTAGTTAGGTTTTCCCAACTTGTCGGGGTGAGACATCATTTACCTATATTTGGGAGGGTGAAAAGGCAGCTGGACAATGTAATGATTAGAGAGCAGTTGCACACAAACTCTTGAAGCAAAACACCTGGATGCCATATAACCCTAGAGTAGCTTTATTATTTAATCTATAATTTAATAGTTGACCTATAAAATAATTACATTATACTTAAAGCATTTCTTCATTTTTCGTTGTCATTTATAAAACAAGAATTAAATACAGTTTTAACCATTACAAGCTCAACTCAGTTTTTACATAAACACAGCTCCTAGAAGGAGCTTTAAGCTGCAGCATATTCATATTTCAAACTGGTGAAAAACCCAGGCAGGGCATAGCTTAAAGGTAAAGATTCTTGCATGTTTTTCTTACGTGAATTTACTAGGGTGATTTTCTCTCTCTGCTCCAAAATGTTTGACTTTCAGTTCATTCCTTTCAAATGAAGACTGAGATCCCCAGGAGTCTTAATAGACTGTATTGCCACCTTCCCCCTCTGCACCACACCCACACTCTCAGGACTAGTCTGAATTGTGCCCATCCTGGGGCTGGCACGATGCCACAGGGCAGCAGCAAGAGCCCCTAAAGCATTCCCTGCGCGAGGAGTCTCCCTGGGCACTTCTGACACGTTGGAAGGTCACAGCAGAAAAGCAACTTCTGTTCATGTAACAGGGCTGCCAGACCCCACCAACCTCACCCTGCCCACGCCAGCCCCTGTAAACCGCTTGGAGCTCTGGTGGAGATCAGTCCTGAAAGCCTCTTAGGGAGGCCTGTGTCACACAGTGGAGACCCGTGGCTCTGAAGCCCCGGCTGGCGACAGTGCTGAGCACATTAACCCCTTGAAGTGGCTGCATGGGAGGAGGCTGGTGGGGAGGGGCTCTGGCATCAGGCTGCAGAGGCTGAACTGTGAGACATGCACAGGGAGTCGGCATGTCATTAATTTGTAAGCTTCAGACAAGTGTGTGCACACTGGCTTTGGTTTGGGGGAAGGGGCTGGTTTCAGACAGGATTTTAATGCAGCTGGGACAAATACAGATCAGAACTGTGACAAATGGGGTATAGAGGACATGTAAAACTCCATCAACTGAATAACAATATAATATGATTTAAAATGAACTGAAAGTGTTCACCAACACTTATTGTGCAGGTCTCAAAAACTGAGTGGACCACCAATAGTGTAGCAATTACAACTTATTCCCTCCCTGCTCCCACAGCTGTGACCCATTCCAGCAGCACTGACTGAGGCATTTGTCCTTTAACACTAACACATTAACATGGTTTCCAGTCATGGGAGAGACACCACTCCCAAAACTTGATGACACTTATGTAGCTTTTGTATTCAGTCCAGCAATGACCAAACTTTGTCCTTTGTGTGACAGTGCTTTTATACCTTTCGGGACACATCATTCCTTTAAGTGTTCTCTCCCACTACCCTTCCACCTCCCCTGGTTTGAGCAGGCATAAATATAAGGTCATAAATGGATGTTGTCCTTTTTGGAGTAAGAAACACACACACACACACATATCTAACATACAAAAACCTACCAAAAGCATAGTAAAACCATGTCCATTTTAAGCCAGGCAGCCGACCTAGCAACTGAGTCTCTTAACATATTTTAATCGCTGGCATACTCTGCCACAAGAAAAATATACATGGCTAGGTCTATAATACTTTAAACAGCTGTTTACTATAGCTAGGTTACAAAATAAACATTGCTGCAGAGGCCATGTGTTCAATATACTCTAACCACAACAGCATCAGAACCCACCCTCAGTCTGCTCTGTGGTCACCGTGGCTGACCCAGTGCCTCACCCTCTTCCCCTTGCTTCTGATCTGCCGTTCAGACAACAAGCCCAGAATCATTTGTCATTGCACAATTGAAGCCGTCTTAAGGAGAGGAGTCTCATCGGAGACTCTCGCTTGCTTTTCACACATTACTGCTCTCCCCAGTCCGTGTCCCCCAGTCCTGGGCAGCACCCCAGCACTTCCAAGTGAGAGAAGCAAGCTCCAGATGAAAGCAAGGGGAAGGCATTCTCAGCTTGTGGAGGGAACTGGAGTGTAGGGCAGAGGGCTTTACTCCACACAGTGGAAACATTTAATGCTGGATTCAGCCAACTGGTCACTTAGATGATCAATCCAAACTTCTGTGAGCCTGCTCCACTCCAGAAGATTCAACTGCCAGGTGATATTTAAAATATTTACGGTGAAGTGCCTAACACAGCCGGTTAAAAAGCGTTATTCCAGTAGGCAAGTGACAAGGAGCCTTTCCTTGCTGGAGGGATGCCTCCTGAAAGAAAACGAAACATATAAAAGAAAAAAAAAAAAAAAGAAAAAAAATGGAAAGAAGAAACACCAACAAAATGGACAGTCTGCTCAGCGGGAGAGGAGAGGCAGCAGTAAAGCTGATGGAGGCAACACCAAGCAGCAGCCACATGCCCGTTCTCACAGTTTGCCTGAGCTGTTCAGATTCACAGACATGCACCGGCACTGCTTGACCTTCTGGATTTTCTTGAGTCGGAAGGGTGGGTCCAGCTCGGGGCACTCCAGCTGCACGGTGGAAGAGGTGACCTTGTGTGGCTTGCAGAAGGCACAGGACTGGAAGGACTCCTCCTCCTTCTTGACGTGCCGCGGGATGTAGAAGGAGTTGCACTGCCCGTAGCAGAAGCGGTTGATGATGGTGCGGCTGATGCAGCCCTCCTCGCTGACAGTCTGCCGCAGCGGCTGCGTCTTGCACCAGTCGCTCTTGAGGTACTTCCTCTCGGTGACCACCAGGGCCTCCTGGCTGGAGGCCAACACCTCCTTGTTCAGCTGCTGCCTCCGCTCCGAGTGGTTGCTGCCGCTGCCTTTGTACGGGGAGGGAATGGCGCCCGCAGGGCGGCTCTTCCTGGTGTCCGACACCCGAACCACTGCTGCCATCAGAAAAACGGAGAAGGCGAATTTCCAAACCATCCTGCAAGGACAACGCAAGGCACTGTTAGCAGAAACGTATTCCCAAACCACAGAGCTGGAATGGAGCTGGTACTTCACACGCGCTTTTAGAAGAAGTGGAGATCTTATCGCCTTTATAATCCCATCACTTTTCCTAGATTAGCTCTATTCCTGGGTGATTACATATCATGAAGAGGCCAGGCGGCCCTTTGGGAAGTCACACTGCTCCCCCTCAGCTCTCCCCAAACTCTCCAGCCGCTTGGTTTTTCCCCACAGGGACACTAATGCTTTGAGGCTGAAGTGGTGGTTTTACAGCAGCTTCAGCCAGAAGCGTCTGCTCCTTCTCTGTGAAATCCTGGGCCAAACAGCTGGGCAAAATCCTGGCTAGCAAAGGCTCAAGAGCCTCTTGCCAAGATGGTGAGAGCTGATTTGGGGATGGCAGGGGAGAGGGCAAGGGAATACCAGGTTACACAAAGTGCATGCCCATGTCTCTTCAGCCCCCAAGTCCCAGCCCAGCCTCACGCCCCACAGAAGTAGCAAGGGGTGTCCAAAAACCTATTTTTATTATTTTAAATTGCTTCTGAAGTTTCTTAGGGCTCTTATGGCACTTACAGGCTTGTATTTGTTGTCTTTGTATGAGGCCAAAATCTTGATGGATTTATTTTTGCAGTAAGAGGAAATGCTTAAACACAACTTCGAGGACTTCACAACTGCAAGGCCTCTTGGGAAAATGGTTTAAGAAGGTTTGTAAACACGAGAGGATTCAATATTTATTTTTGATTTTAAGGAATAAGTTACCACATAAGTTTGTTGCTAAGTTAAAATAGTCAGCCAGATAGCAAAAATATTTTTTCCTAGGGTTGCCTATTATGTATTCTTGTTCTGTGGAGCATCTCTTACCAGCTCTCATCCAATCCATTTTAGTAATGTGTCTCGATGTGCTTCCAGAACATCAGACTAGGTGCACTAAACTTCCTTATAAAGTCAATGCTTGGACGTGAACGGCTCATTTGGCAGTTCATTTCATATCCCTCTCCATGGGAAAGGAGAACAGAGGATCTCTTCAGTGCCAGAAGTGGGTGCACAGAAGCTTCCCATTTGGAGACTAGAACACTTCCAAGTCTTTCTGAAGTGCTCTATTCGCCTTTATTCTTAATGGATATTTTTACAGCGTACGGAAGAAAGACTTATCCCTCTCCTCAAGGTAAAGCTTCAAACCCTTCCATGTAATGATTTTAATTTTTTTTTTCCTTTAGAGAGATGCCTAGACAAAAAAACTGCCATCACACTGGTAATTATAACATCTAACACTTCAGATGTTGCATAGGTACTCCCATTTAGAAAACAGGTCACTTTCCAAACAATGACACCAAAAGATGAAAAAAGTGCTTGCCATAAAGGTACAAAAGAAGACAATAGCAGTAACAAATGCTTCTCACCTAATAAAGCTGACCTAACATGTTTAACTTCTGTGGAGATAAAGAAAAGGAACTACTCTGGCAGACTAAGTGAGATAACATTGCTTAAGGCTATTTTCTAAGTCTACAAGATCTCAATGTCAGACTTGGACTAAGTCTCTAAAGGGAGAAGCCTGAAGTGCTGAAGGAAACAAAAGTGATAATCATATAGCTGTAAACAGAGGATGTTCTGATGCAGAGTTAAATTTCACCAGAGTGTTTGCTTGAAACAGAACCACCTTTAAATGGAAACCAGTATTTCTAAACCACAAAAAAGTTCATTCATCTGCAACCATGCCATCTCCCCACTGAACATCCACTGTAGCCATGGGTACTTTAAATCAGTGGCCTATTTTCACACTGCTTAGCATTCAGCATGCAAGTCCAAGAAGTTTTGTCCAGAGCCTTTAAACGAAGCAAGACTAGACTTGGCTTTGCTGGCATGTATTGTCGCCAAGTCCACTGGATGTCAACCCACACAGCCAGGCCAAAACCTAATCAGGTAATTAGTTTCAGTTGAATATAGCGTTCCATGTTTCCTTTCAAACTGTTCTCATGTTATTCTGCACTGGCGGCTGCATTTCAGTAGTAGATAAAACAATGATTGCCAGTGCTTTGTGTTTTATATAGAAAGGGGAGGAAAATAAACCAGATTTACAAACCTTCATCTTCTAGAAAAAGACAGAGGTGAGCTCTCCACAAGATTATGGCCTTATGCCACTATTCTGAGGCACACTCTTCTACTCTTTTGAAACACAAGGGATACTTGTGCCTCTCCAGTCTCATTCTCTGATCCTGGCATAGAAGAGGACAGCAAAGGTCAGCAAGAGAGACACACCCTTTCCCCCACCCCCTCCTCTTTTCTTGGGATGATCTTTAAGGTCTTTTCCAACTGCCATGACTCTACAATTCTGTGAAACCCCGTGTTACCACGCCTGCCCTTTCTCTTCATAAAATGCAACTTGAAAGGACATAAAATTTCCTTTTTGTGTCAAGAGTGGTGGTCAAGCAGAACTGCTACACAGGAATTCAGGAAACCTGACAGAGTAACTAACAACTCAACATCTATAATATAGAGAAAAACTATAGCAGTATTCTAATTGCTTAAATGGTTTTATGTAGGCAGGGAGAGCCATTCAATAGAGTAAGTAGGATTTATTCAGTAAGTCTGTGTTTATAACTAATAAAGCATTATTAATCAAAGCCACTATTGCACACTTATAAACCAAACACTGCAATACATGCAAGTACTTCTACAGACAGGTAGGAATGCACAACTTATTTTGGTCATTGATCTTTATCAAACTTGAACCTTAAAATATTTACATAATGGAGTAATAATCTATTCTACACTAGGAGGTCAAATGTGCATTCTGTCAGATAGTGGAATTTCTAATCACGGTGTTACCCCTTACTAGCCTGCAAATCACCCCTTTCTAAGCCCTGGCACACAAATCCCCTATTCAAGCAAGTAAGGGTGCAAACAAGGTCACACGATGCCAGCAACTTGCCAAGGACTACATGTGTATTTTCAGCACTCACATGCAAAGAGAAGAGACACTTCAGGCCTCCCAGAGAAAGAGAACCTTTTGGCAAACTTAATTTGAATGCAAAGCAAGACGGTGAACGCTGTCTGTCTGCAGACAGAGCGGGATGAGAAGAAACACAAAACGTCTTCTGGGGAAGAATCTGACCTTTGGCAAGGACAGGGCAGTTCTGCCCTACATAGATGGAAGAGAATGAAACAGCATGTGGCTGAGACCATGCAAGTGAGATCTGCCTCAAGATACCAATGCCTCTTCAATTTGCACCAATGCCAGTCTGGGCCCCCATTCCTGCTGCACTGGGGTCCCCATAGCAGACCTGTGGCAGCTCCTTTGTGACAGGTTTCAACTTCTTCAAGCATTGTTGCCAGCTGCTGCCAGTTCCCCTCACACTTTTTTTACAGTGCATGAGCTAGATTTACACAAGACACCCAACAAGGCCTGGCTGCATTTACATATCACATGGCAAGTTTTTCTCCTTCAGAAACGGAAATCAGCATCAAGTATGAGTTCATAAACTCATCAAACCCATCATGCTGGGGTTGGGCTATCAGGCCCAGGAGTGTAAAAAATCCTTGGCCATGGAAGTGAGAATGTCAAAATCCAGCTCTGTCATTCACAGGTCACGTCACTGTGCTGGGAGGGGAAAACCCAGGATCACTGTGTCTGCCCTTAGCTTTATTTCTCCTTTGTATCCAATTGCTGTGTAACATAAAGTACCTACCAAGGCAGGCTCCCTTTTGCATGCTAACCTCTTGGTCCTATAATTCACACATTCTCAAAAGTAATCCAGCTCCAGAGCATGGATTGGTGTAACCCCCAAAATAGATTATAGTTTTGTGCTTAGGGAAGTCCTCTCTGGATTGGAGCACTGGATTTGCTTTCAGAATTCAAGGTCATCATTTTCTGAGAAGTCCCCCTGAGAAGAAGTGGGTGCTACTTCTGAAAGGCAGGGCAAGAGGTAACACCAGTGCCCGTCTGTGCTGAGTGACCACTCCAATGTTTACTCTAATTTTCAAAGTCATGACCAGTTTCTCAGCTCAGGATGCAGATTCTTACTGGGAATTTCTATGCTGAAGATCAGCCTACTTCAAGCTGGCAAGTGGACAGAAAGAAAGAGGGATATAACTGAAAGATCATGGTGATATTTTACATTAGGTGCTCAGGAAATCAGGAGGTGTGAGACCCATCTGTTTGTTTTAGCACCTACTTTGTAGCACCTACAGAGCAGTCAGCATTATCAGCATTCCTGGAAGCATCCAACTCTCTGATACAGGTATGATACAATCATCTCTCCACCAGGTCTTTCTGGAGGGAATTCAGAAATAAAAGTCTTAGGCAATTTAAAACAAACCAAAACAACAAAACACAACAACAACAATAACAAAAAAATCCCATCAACCAAAAAAACCCAATCCACAACCAAAAAATCCAAACCTGCAAAACCTATCTTAGCATGGAATTTGAGACTCTATCTATTCAGCTTAATCACAGTACGGATTCATAAAGAAGAAGACTTAGTACTATAAACCTGTCATACAACCATCAGAAGTACAGTCTCAAGTACTGTGAGAGCCAGTGGCTGGGAAGATGATAAACAAATCTGGGGTTTTTTTTCTTTCTTTTTGAAAAATTTAAATTTACTTAGCAGCTGCAGAGCTTCCCTTGGACAAATATTTCTCTGTAACTACCAGCAAAATGCAGGCATTACAGACTAGATTAAATCAGGTCCCGCTACGTAGTACAGTACATAGATAGCCACATTTCACCACCTGTATCACTTGCTTCCAGTTTCCACACTGCAAACTTCAGAGACATGAGAGATGTCCTTAGGGGTCACTTGAGTGTGGCTGAATGCAGGAAGCCTGCATTTTTTTCTAGTCTCCCTTTACTTTCGTATTAGACCTAGTCAGAAAAAGAATCTGTATAAACCAGTCATATGTACAATAATGTAAGAACACGATGTACATGGTTAGTTCTCACATTTAAGATGGGACACAAGAAGCGTTCCTTGAAGACAAGCCAGGCCATAGCTTTTCAAAGAACTAAAACTTGGCTTTAGCAACAGATGTGGAAAGCCAGGAAATATCAAATTCTCTACCAGGAAGCCAAAAATGCTATTTATTAAATTTATTAATAGTTAGGCATGATTCTAATAGTAAAGTGTTCTCATAAAGACCTCAATAAAGACTAATCAGGCATCTTTGTGCAAGGGAGGTATTTGGTGCTAATTTTTCTCTTTTAGCTATCCTTTGGAAACTATTTTTCCCATGTTCCAACAGCATTAGCAGTAACTGAACACTACACTGTATCTCCTGTTGCAGAGACATGGGCGTCTTATTAAATCATTCCATCATTAATAGATTCCCATTACTAAATTGCCAAGAGTGAGGCCAGTTACAACAACAAAGCATGCAGGAGTCTGGGCAGACCAAACTTTTAAAAATGTAAAAAACACAATACAGCAGCTAGGATTCAGTTATTCAGATCTACTTTATAGCAGTAGCTACCATGTTCTAGGAGTACAACCCATCACTTTTCAAAACAACTTCACAAAACACAAAAAACAATTACTTAAATACAAATAAATGCCATTACAGAAATTTACAGGCAGAAATTTTTCCATTCTTGTCCTCCAAGAACCTTCTACAGTGATTTGAAAAAAAGCTATTTTGTTGCATCACAGCCCTAACAGTAGATGTCTGGGGGAGAAAACATTTCTTTCAGACTTAATAAATTCTTAGCACCCTCACTGGCTCACATGGATGGAGATCCTTCTCTCTCCATCCTTTTCTCTTGCACCAACACCTCTCCCCCAGAGAGTCAAGACTGTCTACAGGGATCACCATGAAGCTTTGAAGGAACCAGGAAAGGTCCTCCTGTAGGCTGGATGTCCCAGGAGCCACACTCTACTGTGTGAGCTCTTGCTCTGTTTTTTTGAAAGGGGGACATGAAGTTAGGTTTCAACAATGCCAGCCTGCATTCTTCAGAACAGGACAAGATTTCCCCAATAATGCCAGAACTTATAAATTCTCCTTATCAAGACAGTTCCTGAAAACTATGAACTTAAATTATTGAAAAATAAAGTAATTAATCAACAAAATGGATGTAGAAAACACTGGTGGAGACAGTCTATGCTAGTTGAAAGGATGTTGCACTATATTAATTCAGCTCGCACTGAATAGATTTTCTACTTCCAAGAGCTTTATCTTGAATTTTCACTCAAAAGGCTGGGAGTTTAGAAGAATTCTTGATCCATGCACAAAAATATAAGAGGAACCAACAACTCAGCCAATTTTCCTGTCTTTCAGCAATATGTTATGTGTTAATTTTAGGACAGAAGGAAACTGGAAAGTAAAGTAACCCTTGACACTAAAACTAACCAGCTTGAATGCTGGGTTTTTCCTCCTCATCTTGTCCTCTCTCTTTCTTATCTGCCTTTACTGCCAATAGAAATTCATGTTTAAAACCACTGAACTATTCTTTCCTTCAAGAACTAAAGACAAGCTCATTTGAAACCTGTTTAAATGTAGCTGGTCACTTCATTAGTGTTAAAGGATCACACTACTCCAGCAGTTTCACTTTGCACTCTCATCCTGCCACAAAGTGTATTGACCTAAATATTGTATCACTGATTTATAGTATTAGGCTCTTCATAGGCTGAATCCTTCTTATCTTGTATAGTTTTCAAACCTCTGGGGTTTTTTGTTCTGTTTTTTTAAAGTAGTATTAATGCTGGAGGAATAGAGAATTAGAATAGATAATTTTTTAAAGCCAGGACCAGGAGTTTGTGAGGAAAATCACTGGTTGTAAACTACAGCTCCAGAAGACTGGACAGAGGGGGAAGGAAAGTATTGATGAAGTCAGCCCTGGTATTTTGACATACTTTTATCATTAAGGAGATGGAAGTAGGGTTAGGCCACTTGGAATAAATATAAAGAGGTTGTCAGAGAAGTAAAAATGAAAGAGGGAAGGTTGGGGCCGTCTGGAATTAAATCTGGCCAAGCATGTCAATGAGAACAAGAAGTGCTTCATCAAATGTAACTATAGCAAAAGGAAAACTAAGGATAATGTGGATGCTTCACTAAATGGATTTGGGATGCTGATAACAGAAGACGCAGAGTTGCCGAACATCTTCTTTGCATTGGTCTGAAATGACATCTCTTAGGCATCTTTGACCCAGGAGAACAGTGTAAAGGAATGTTGGAAGGGAGGACTGGCTTAGAGAACACCTAAGCAAATTTGACATCCACATGTCCATGGGCCCTGACAGGCTGTGTCCATGAGTGCTGAAAGAACTGGGGGACACCATAGCAAGGCTGCTCACAATCATCTTTGAAAGGCCATGGAAGTCAGGAGAGGTGCCTGGACTGGTAGAAAGTAAATGTCACACCCCAGTCTTCAGCAAGTGCAAGAAGGAGAACCCAGAGAACTACTGGCCAGTCAGCCTCACCTCAACCCTGAGAAAAGTGATGGAACACCTCATTCTGGAGTCCATCTCTAGCCACATGAATGACAAGAAGGTGATCAGGAGAAGTCAGCATGGATTCACAAATAATAAATCATGCTTGACCAACCTGATTGCCTTCTGCCATGAAACAACAACCTGTATATATAAGGAGAGAGCAGTGGATTTTGCCTCTCTTGACTTTAGTGAGGCTTTCAACCCTGTCTCACAACATCCTCATAGGCCAAGTCAGGAAGTGTGGGCTGGATGGGTAGACAGTGAGGTGGATTCATAACTGGCTGAATGGCAGATCCCAGAGGGTTGTACCCAGTGGCACGTGTCAAGATGGAGGCCTGTCACTTGTGGTGTCCCCCAAGGTCCAGCACTAGTGTTGTCTACCTTGTTCATCAATGACTCAGGTGAAGGGGCAGATGGCTCCTCAGCAGGTTCACTGACAACACAAAGCTGGGAGGAGGTGCCAGTACCCCAGAGGGCTGTGCAGCCCTTCAGAAGGACCTCGGGAGGTTGGAGAGATGACCAGAGAAGAACTGATTGAACTTTATAAAGGCACGTGCAAGGTCCTGCACCTGGAGAAGAGTAACCCCTGCACCAGGTCAGGCTGGGGCTGAGCTGCTGGAACGCAGCTCTGTGGAGAAGAACTTGGGGGTCCTGGTGGACAACAGCTGTCCAAGAGCCAGCAGTGTGTCCTTGTAGCCAAGAAG